CAATTTAGATAAATCAGATGGGCACTACCAGGTTAGGGTTAAGTCTCCAAGAATGGCTTTGCAAGTAATAACAGAAAACAAAACCAAGAAAAAAGCCCAACAGTTATTGGGTCCTGAGTAATTTGCAGCCTGTTTCACCCAAGCTAATTAAAATGTAATCGGGATTGTCTGGCAATGTGTATTCTGTCAGTGGTTTTTCTTGGGAAGAGAAATCAAGCCAAGAGACCATGAGAAAAGCCTTTCACGGGAATTGGCTTGATCTAAACTGCTTCTGTAGCCGCTGCAACTGTAAAACAAATAAATCACTGCAACTGACAATAAAAAGGTGGAGGGAGGGACATCCTCGTCCTCTCTGGAGATGGGCTGGTGGGTTCTGCGTTGTGTTGCGGTGTTGTTCAAACACCCGCGTGGCATCTTCTAGGGAGAGGGACTTTGGGGTAAGGTGGTGGATTTGAGTCAGGTGTGTGGGGACAGGCACCTGCCTGGATGTCGATGTCCTGCTACCTCGCTGCAGAGATAAGCGTCGGGTTTCCCTTCCCCGCAGGCCCTGAAGGAGGCTGAGTGTCCTTTTCTATTTTCTCCTGACAGACACTGTTTGATTCCGAACAAAGGCTTGCAAAGTTCACCGGTGGGCCTCAGCTCTTCAGATCCCAACTGTGAGCCGTCCGTAGGTCGCTCTCCGGCACACTGGCGGGGAAGGCCACCCAGAGGGCTGCGGACAGACACCCCAAACTGCACCCTCCAGAACTGATCAGCGCCAGTTCCAGCTGCTTGGTTCCCTGATTCCGGGAGCCCCTCCTTTGCTGAGCCCCCTCTACTCCACTGGGCCTCGGCCGGCCGGAGGGTACCCAGTGTAAAGGCAGAGGGCTCTGCTTCCAGTTCCAGCCCCACCTGGGAGCCTCCAGAATTTTCCCTGGGGCGAGAAGCTGGGCTGTTGGAACAGGTGGGTAGCTCAGGGGAGAGGCGAGCAGCAGAGGAGGAGGCCCGCAAGTGGGTGACTCCAGGGCCTCGCGCCCTCGGGGTCTGGGAGCTGCTCGGGGCGCCCACCCGCTTCGGTGCAGGTCCAAGGGCGCCAGGAGTGCTCTTCCAGGAGCCTCCTTCACCCCCCCACCTTCCGCACCCTCAAGCTGGAACAACCTACTTGGGCTGGGGCAGCCCCTGGCCCCGGGGATTCTTCCCCGGAGCAGCCAAGCCCGGCCCCTTCGTCCTGAGCCCCACCCTTCCCCTGCCGCTGC